TCCTTTGACTGGGTAACCTCCCAACGGACTGTAGGGATGCTGCAGGCATAATCTATCTCGACTTTAGCAAAGTCCTTGGACGACGTGCCCCACAACATCCTGACTGCCAAGCTAGCAAAATGCAGGCTCGACAGAACTGCTATCAGGTGAATCCACAATCGGCTGCAAAGGTGGCCCCAGAAGACCGCTCGTCGACGGCACGCTCTCAAAGGAGGCAGAGATGGCAACTGGGGTGCCACAAGGTGCTGCCCTGGGATCAGAACTCTGCAACATTTTTATTAATAGTTTAGATGAGGAAGTAGAAAGAGAAATAATTGAATTTGCAAATGACACAAAGCTGGATGGAACAGCAAATACCCTGGAAGACAGAGATAATACATAGGGTGATCTTGATAGGTTAAAACACTGGGTAGGGAGCCACAGAATGAAATTCAATAGGGGCAAACGCCAAGTTTTCCACTTAGGAAAAAGAAATCAAATGCATCTTTACAAGATGGGAAAGACTTGCAAATGGGAGGGATCTTGTGGTTGATGTAGATAAAAAGCTAAACATGAGCCAACAAGGTGATGCAGCAGCAAAAGGGGCAAATGCTATTTTGGGATGCATTAACAGAAGCATTACTTCCAAAACACATGAAAAACCAGTTCCACTCTACTGAGCACTAGTCAGGCCTCACCTGGAGTCCTGCGTCCAGTTCTGGACACCTAAGTTTTAAAAGGACACAGAAAAGCTAGAAAGGACAGAGAGGAGGGAAACAAGGATGATTCCGGATGACTGGAGGCAAAACTGAGCATGCTTAGCCTTGAGAAGAGAAGACAGAGGGGGATGTGACAGCATTCTACGGGTTCCTGAAAGGCTGCCACAAAGAGCAAGGGCAAGGGCAAGGCCTCTCCTTGTTCACGCCAGAGTGCAGGACATGGAATGATGGACTTGAGTTAAAAAAGAAACCAGATTTAGACTAGACACCAGGAGGAAGTTCCTCACTGTCAGAGCAGTACGACAATGGAACCTATCACCTGGGGAAGGTGTGGGCTCGCCCTCACTGGAGAAATTCAAAAAGCATTTGGGCAGTCATCTGATTTGGAAGGTGTAACGTAGTGCCCTGCAACAGCAAGGGGTTGGACCTGATGGCCTTTGGCCCCTTCCGATGCGAGTATTCTATGATTGGGAGGAAAAGGAGAATATGTCAGCTGCCCTGAATTCCTTGAAAGGAAAAAAGGGAGGAGGAGGAGGAGGAGAATGATGATGATGATGATGATGATGATGATGATGATGATACCAGCAGCAGCACCACCATGTGGACATGCATATGGCAGGCTGGAGCCACCTGGGATCAGACTAATGGCCTGGGAGGCCCCTTCTGACTCGCTCTGTTCCTACCCATCCCTTGGAACTTAACGCAAGGTCAGTGTAAATGGATTCTCCCGCCCTTCTGACAGCTAAAGGACTGGAAGGCCGAACAGCCGGCTGTAACAACACAAAGGGGAGGGGGTTTGACGAAGCTTTCAGTTTTGGAAAGGCATGTTTTATGAACAGACAAATACATGCATATCTGGGCTGCCTCTGAAGTCTGTGCATAAACACCCCTAACAACAGGAGTCTGTTTTGCTCCACATAAAATGTATACAAACATGCAGTATATATGCATTCATTCTCATTGAGTCACTCAAATTTAACGTAAGAAAACTCCTGCATTATTTTCTCAGCATTCAACTGCTCTGAAAACAGCACGTTTCATGTTGTTCGTCACTGGAAAGAGATCAAAAATAAACTGCTAAAATTGTAGAGCCTCTGCAGAGCCCTGTCATTCGTGCAGGGACAGCCTGCCTTCGGTCGTCTATCCTCTGGTGATCTCTAGATAGACTACTGCAATGCATGTCATGTGGGGCTGCCCCTGCAGACTGTTCAGAAGTTGCCACTCATGCCAGATGCAGCATGACTTAATAAGCCGGACCAGGAGGTCTGAACGGGTTGACACCAATTCCAGCCCATTTGCGTTGGCTGCCCGGGTGCTTCAGTGCCCAGTTCCAGGTGCCGGTTCTAACCTACAAAGCTTGGCACGGCTCGGGACTGCAGTAGCTAAAGATGCCTTCCCGACACAGACTGACCTGGATGCTGCCGTCAAAATCTGCCACCTTTCCCATTTCGTGTGGTGCTGGATGATACCCTCTCCTGTCACTTCTGTGAGCTGCTGCGATCTGCCCAGAGACCTTTTCTTAAATTGCATACACTGAGGTCAAATAAGCACAGAAGTCTAGTCTCTGGCAATCTTAGACAGCTGCCAGGCTGCACCTTTCATTTTTTACTGTCCCTCCACCCTAGCATCTATGTGAAACACACACCCCCAGCCACTGCCCAGGAGGTGGGCTTCTCTCCAGGAAGCAGACCCTCGTCCACAAACTCCTTAAAAAATCTCGGTCTTGACGACACTGCATGGCCACGGTGGTCTCCCAAGAAGCAGGTAAAGCCACCCACACCGCGGTCCTTCTGCCACCCCAGCCTGCCCAGAGCTGGGGGAAGCAGAGATGGCACCTGGCCCCCAGCTCCTGCTGAGCAAGGGGCATGCCTTGGAGAGAACGCAAGGCAGAGGTTCAACCCCCAGAAACACTCAAAACAGGGAACTCAGTTCATGCCACAACTGTGAGGGGCTGGATTGTTATTGATAATACAGCGAATATTAAATAACTGCCGGAAAGTGGAACAGCGAGCATGCTGAAGCTGGATATGTGTAGAAAGTTCAGTATCCACCCTGGAGAATAAAGCTTTTAAGACGGGAAGCGGCTTTGTAATCGTAATGCTATTATATTAATAGCACGAGCATCGCATAATAGTGATCATGTATCACCATGCTCTGGAAGGCTGAGTGGTGCTTCTGGAACGGAAGGGAACTGTTGCCTTTAACGATGAAAGCTTTCTTAATTTTCACCTGGGCCTTCCTTGTGCTCTCTTAGCCAGATGGTTCCATTCCCATTAGCTTGGTCCCCCTGGCCAGTTAGCCTCTCAACCCAGATTTTGCCAGTCGCCGACTTCTGAAGGCTACAGCCTTTCTATAGTGTGGCTTCCAATGTATCTGCAAGTAAGACTGGGCAGAAATTCACTCATGCAGAAGTCCCCATGCCTGCCCCGGAGCGTCCATCAATCCGTCGAGCCATTCCGCCTGGCACTGCCGCGCCGTGGCTCTGCACCTAGATGGGAGGCTGGCTCCAGAGAGCGGTGCCTGCTGGACGCTGCTCGGCCCCCTGGACTCCCCATGGGCCTGTTCCGCCCCCCACGCTGTCCAACATCTACAGGACAGAAGCAGGAGGCCGGCTGCCTGTCTGAAGCAAATTCAGGGCAATCCTGGCGTTCAGTCTCTGGCACGCAGAGTAGGCCGCCTCGGTGGAAAGCTGAGGAGAGCAGCGGCAGCGGCAGCAGAAAGAGCTCTTATATTACACCCCTCTTCACCTCGCAAAGCCAGCACAGCTTCCCCCAGCAATGACGAAGCAGAACTCGAGGACATGGTGGGGGGGGGCTCAGGAAAGTCATGGGTGGAACTGGCAGTGCAAGAGGAAGGCTGGAAGGCTGAGACTCAGCGTCTGAGTGGCCAGGATGAGAAAAGAGACCTTGAACGGCTCAAGCCAAGCTGACAGAGGAAATGAGGCGGGGGGGGGGCACAGGGCATGGGTGGAAGACAATCTTGACGTCAACCACCAGGAAAACGGACCGAGAGTGAGTTCACGGAGGTGAAGACAGAAAAGGGACAGAGGTCTCATGAGGCTGGAGAGGCAAAGCCGGGCATTCGAAGACTGGCATTCCCTTTTTGCCAAAGGTGAAATGCGGGGGGGGGGGGGG